CGGGTGAGTGGGTGTGGCTGCGGGCTGCTGGCCGGTTTGTTGCGGCTGCAATGGCTGCAAATTACAAATTCGTTTATTGTGCCAAAAAGTTATGCAAGTTTTGTACACATCCGTCGGATCTGAGGGTGCTGGCAGTTTAGAAATCCGAATGGCCCTCGCAAGCACACGAAATAATTACACAAGCGCATGGATCAAATGGAAAAATTAATTTAAGTGCAATGTCGGCAGCTAGCACAAATCCCGGCTCATCAATTTGGCTCGCTAAAGCGACGCGAGCCAAATTTATTTTGCCCAAGCATAAATCTACCCGAGCACAACTCGCTGAAACCAGACCAAAAGTCACAAATACACTCACGTAAATACATACAGTCACACACACGCATACATATACACAAGCTCACATTGAGTGACTGTGGCAATGTCATGCTGAATACATTGCAGGACATGTGTAATTTCTCACGTGATTCAACGATGCAAGCAAGGACCTTCCACAGCAAGTGGACTATGGAATACTCTAAAGTAAGTAGAACTTTATTTTAAAAAGTATCAATGGAAACAGTAATATATTTATATTGGAATAGTAAATCATTTTAAATTATTTTAGATATATTTAAATATTATATCATTTTGCTGATTTTACTACATGAATTTTTTGAAAGTTATTTTTGTTGGCCGATGGAAGCTGAATAAAAAATGACAAAAAATTGTTAAATAATGAAATAAAAATACATGCATAAATATTTAATATAAATTAAAAAATAATAAAAATTGAGTTTAAATATTTTGATTTCATTATTTATAATTTTTATAATTTGTAATTCACGATAATTACTTATTTTACTAATTACTTATATTTGGATTTCATTATTTATAATTTTTATAATTTGTAATTCACCATAATTAGTTATTATTATTAGCATTAGAAAATTTTAAAGAAATTTCAGGATTCTGCCGATTCTATAACCAGCTAACTACGATCTCAATCATGACCTTGTTGCACTGGCTCAGCTATAGACAGTTGGCTCCATAGTTTTTCTCTATAGCTTTTCCAAGGGAACCGCAAGTGATTGATGTCCCCTGACTGATTAATGAAAGATTGAGGAATACACATACGCCAGGACAATTAGGTATGCATAGACGTGTAAAAAGTTAAGCCACACAGTTTTCTCACATGCTGAAACAAATTTATTTGGGCTCACAGCAGTAAGCTCCGTAGAAATGCTTGAGTAAAAACACAAACTAAATTTCTTATAACAATTTCTTCTTTGTCTTTATAATTCCACTGCACGCACACACACACACACGCAAGGGTATATTTCCAAAAAAAAAGGGGAAAAAAAAACACCTTCATGCAAACAAACAGAAAATCTCCGAAATGAAACAAACAATACAATTGTTTGCTCTACTATCTGTCAGCTCTTGCTCTTGCGCTCGGTTTGGTTTGGGGTTGGGATTGGTATGGTCTGCTTTCAGTAGTTGTTGTTGTTGTTGTTGCTGCTGCTGGCATGAGCGCATAAAAGAAAAGTGCTTAAAAAATAACAGTAAATTGCACAAACACAAGCGCAACGCCAAGCGGCCCGACACGCCCCCATTTCAGCGCCCCAGCGCTGCAGCGGTGCATGACGAGCTTGCATACTTTTAGGGACAGCTGATTCAATTCCGCGTTAAAAGGATGCCACCGAAGCACCGCGGCTCGTCCTCGCCAATAGCTGGAAGCACTGCGTCGGGCATGCTCTGGCGTGCAGTGCATTTTGCAGCACTGCAACCGCTGCCGTACCTGACTCGAGCTAAGCACGCACACACACACACACACACGCACACGTACACATGGCGTGGCATGCCACATTAAGTGAGCAGCTCCTCTCTATCTCCCTCCCCTGGCTACCTCATCCGTGTGGGGCCGCGGAGCAAACATTCATACGAGCGGAATTTGTAATGCGAGTGTCTGCTAAATGGTTTACGGGCAGCGACGGGTTTCTTAATCAGATTTGCGCCAAATTACTAGCAAATGCATTTGGATAGTTCCGTTAGAACCGAGTTTGTTTTTTTTTTTTCTTTTTTTCATTTTTTGCATAATGCATTGTTAAGAATATATGTATATTTGAATATGCCAACTGAAATTTCAACTGTTGGGTATTTTGCTCTCTTAAAGAGAGTAACAAATTGCTGAACTAAAATATTTAATTTAATTGTTTGTTTTATTAAAGTGAGTTAAAGTGAAATGAATCAATTTGTAGAACATCTTTGAGGTGATTTAAAAAGCTTTCAGGGATATTACGAATTTGTGGCTTCAGCTCATATCTCATCCAGATGTCGAAGATCTGTGAGAGTCAGCTCTCGCTTCCTGCCAAACTGCCCCTCTATCATTCGATGTTGGACAACTACACGAGTAGTTCATTATAGTCGCTCCGGCCTTGGTCTATTCTATTGTTCAGCTCTTTTGGTCGGCGCTTGTTATTGTTTTGTTTCCTTGTTTCCATTGTTGGGGCTGCTGCTGCTCCTGCTGCTGCTGCTGCTGTTGCTGCTGCTGCCTCTGAAGGAGCAACACTAAACAATACGGCGAAATTACTTAATTTCATGTTGGTCTAATCAAGTTGCCATTGCCGAGCGGCAAAAGCGAGCGTGTGGCTGGCACAGAAGGCCGCACAAAAGCGTGCAACAGCAACAGCAACGGCAACAGCAACGGCATCGGCGGCAGCAACGGCGGCAGCAACAGCATGAGAAAAGTGTGTACAGGTGCGGATTGCCAACAAATAACGTGCCGTTGCCGTGCCAAGCACACATGCATGTCCCCACACACACACACACACACACATATATATACACACCTGCTTCAGTCATGGGGACCCCCAAGCGGAATGTGCGCTGTCTTCTTTTTTTCTTTTTTTTTTTTTTTTTTTTTTGGGCCAACGTTTAGTGGCCGCTCATTTATGCTCCAAGCAACAGCGAAGCAACAACAACATGAAATGGGTGGACAGCTAAACGCTGACAAAAACAAGCAGCACGAAGGCAAAAACTATGCGACCATTTAACATGTGGCCTGGGACTGGGACTGGAAGTGGGGCGCGGGTGTGTGTGGGCGGAGATCTGTGGCTCAGCACGGGCCATGTTAATCTGAAAGTGTGTCAATGTCGACATCCGTTTCCTTTCTGCCAAGGCAGCAGCCACCTGCCACCTGCCACCAGCCGCCTCCTGCCGAAGAGGCAGCAGCACTCATATAGCCACTTGAGATGCAAACAGGTAAAAGGGCCACAAATTTAAACATTTGTCTACTCCAACACGCACCGGCGCGCACACACATACACACACACACAGAGACACACACACACACAGAGACACACACCCACGGAGCAGATGCAGCTGCAGCTCGCAGTGGAACGAAATGGAAACTGGCGAAACATTGGTAATACGGTCATCCGCAATAGGCTGCAACAGCCGCAGCAGCAAACGTTTTGGCAATGGAACAAGAAAATGGCGCAGCCTGTGCAATGCTCTTATTGTTTTTTTTTTCTTTTCTCTTCTTCTTCTTTTTTTTTGGGAGGCCTGCTGTGACAGCACAGCGGGCGCTCTATTCTGTTGGCCAGTTTTTCAAGCTGATAAATTGGCAGCGACATTTCAGCAAGAGTTGACAATTACCAGCGCTTACATGAGCTCATCTACTTTATGTGTGTGAGTGTCCGTGTGTGTGTGTGGTTCGTATAATTAAAAGCAAGAAAAGCAGACATGAAATTGTTCGGCTTAAATGTCTTTGACTGCCGCTGCAGCCGGCTGGTGGTCCACATTTGGATATGATCGAATGCGAATGAGCCACCACTTTAATTATGCTGCCAAGTGGCACAACTGCAGTTCCATGTGTGTGTGTGTGTGTGTGTGTGTGTGTGTGTGTGTGTGTGTGTGATTGTGAGTCAAGGCTTTTTGTCCAAAACATTTGCACATTTGTGATTTGTTGTATTTGTGAGCCAGCACTGCGCGAAAAGCAGCCATAAAATATGCAATGAAAAACTTTTCATCTGTAAATATTAAAAGAAAATTGTTTATAAAGAAGGTTATATAAGATTTATATTTTATAAAAAAATTTATTAAAATCAAAAGTTACTCAAGTCGAAACTCATTTCACTTAGCCACTTTAAGAAAAAAGTTTTAAAAATATTTTGCAGCATTCAAATCCATTTTCTTAGTATTTGCTCGCTCTCTTGTCGAGATGAATGCTTGTAAATAATAATAATAATACAACAAATAAACATATGCAAGTCAAATAGTTTTATCTAATCGCTTAAATCACCTGTGTGGCCAATCAAACACTGCTGCGATAAGATTAATCTCTCTCCCTCTCTCTTTGTCTCCCTCTCTCTCTCTCCCTCTGTGTGTATTAGCGCATAGGAGCAGCTCGGATGATATATGGACGTTTGTTGTCTTTTAATTACGTATGGCTTAAACAAATTGAAATCGAATGCAATAATCAGAGTTATTTAATTGAACGCTTTAATCTAAATTGCATCGATTGATGTGCGGGCAACAACAAAAATGAAATCATAATTGAATTAGCAATTTTGTGCAAGAAGTTTAAGCCTTCAACATTTGGGCAGACACCAAAAATGCCGCATGCTGTCCTGTAATGTTGCACGTGGTAGTCGAAAAATAGACTGCAGACACACAGACACACATACACACACACACACACACACACACATGTACAGAAACACACGCACATATATCATTGCAGTCAGCAGCGTCAAGTGCAGCGCAACGTCGACAGCGACAGCGACGCAGACGCAGACGACGACGACGACGAAGCGATAAGATAATACGTGCGATGACAAAAAGCACCCAAAGCGAGCCACGACGACAACGATGACGACGACGACGACGACGACGCCGAGGGATGCCGAAGCTCTGCCACGAGGCAATGGCGTCGGCGTTGGCGTCGCAGTCGCAGTCGCCATGCAGGGACTGGCTGTTGCCACTGCTGTTGCTTATAAAAGCCGTTGGCTCGGCACGAGCGAACATCACAAAACATTGAAGCGCGTTGCCGAGCAGTCAAGCCCTGAGTGCAGGCCACATAGAAACCCACACAAGCAGCCGCAGCCGAAGCCGCAGCCACAACAGCCACAGAGTCAGAGTCAGAGTCGGAATCAGAATCAGAATCAGAGCTAACCAACGGTAAAGTGAAACAATAACAAACGCTGTCGCAGTTCATGTCTGTGTGTGTGTGTGTGAGTGTGTGTGAGTGTATTTGTGTTAAGAGTTTCCGTTACAAAAATAATGAAACCATTTCGAAAACGTATTTCAAAAACCAACAAAAGAGCAAGAACAAACCAAAAGTAACGAGGACAAGTTCTTCAAAAGAACAAGCGAAACAAGGATGAATAACATGGCCAGCCCAGTTGGAGAGCAGTCAAGTAGGCTCTGTCAAATTTCGCAAGGAACCTGCAGCCCACCTGGCTGGCCCCCCGCCCCGACCGACCAACTTATCATTGTAAGAGTAGAAAACTTGACAAGTGCAAGAAACGCTGCTTTTGTAATGAATTCATTCAGAGTGTTGACGACCAAAGTTTTTCTCTCGAAAAGTTTTCAAAACAGGACAGAATAAAAGTGAAAAAGAGGAAGAGAATACAATTGTACGTGTGCAAGCGATGCTGCTCAAGGATCCTCGTCCTGCCACATTTTCCTTGGCTAAATATTCTGTGCGCCGCAGGCCTAAACCAGCGCCACGAGCTGTCAATCTTTTTTTTTCTCTCTCTCTATATATGCCTCTCTCCCTCCCTCCCCTCCTCTTCCTCTCTCTCTATCTCGCTCGTTCTTTCTGTCTGGCCATCTGGTGCTCTGTTATTGTCCACTAAATTAAATGTAAATTAATGCAAATTACACGAAATTACTGCGGGCCACACAATGAAACAACTGTAACAACTGCAGCAGCAGCCACTGAATGCAGTTGCTCTGCAGCCCCCAGCCGATGGGCTGCATCAAGAGATAAAAGACTGTCGCTTTGTCTATTATTTTAAATTGGCTGCGCAAATTTGCGGCATCGCAAAAGTAATTAGCGGCCGCTGAAACTGTGCCGCTGATAAGTCCACAGAATCCACAATCCGAAACAGCAACAAAAGTGAGCCATCGATCAGGTGGAGGCACCTACTTGAATACGATGCTAGACATCTCGCTAGAGTATGCAAAACAGGGAGAATATACAATATCTAAATGTAGTGAGAATTAGAATTCGTAACGGAATAATATTGTTTAAATAGTATTTAACAGAGAGCATAAAGCAAATTGTTAAGCTTTGTTCAAAAGTAAGACTTGTGCTGGAATATATATTTAGATATATATATATATATTTGTATATACCTCGATATATTTCTCTATGATTCTCCATATATTTATATATATTTTTGTATTGCTATAGTCTTCTACATATTTCGATAGATTTCTACACATTTCTATACAATTTTTCTGCGCATTCTATATAATTATCTCCATATATTTTTATGTGTCAACATTTTTCTATATATCTCTATATATTTCCATATATTTATTCATATAATATTTCGATATATTTGTCATTTTAAATTGGGTCAATTCTTTTTTCTATCTTCATCTTGACAAATTACTTCTAGTCCGAGATTTATAATTAATCATTCCAGTGAGATTTTCAATTAGGATTAAACGGAGTAATTTCTATAGAAAAAATATAGAAAAGAAAAGCCATTAAAAATACATTAAAATACACTTCAGAAATTTTTAAGTAGATATAAGAACTAGATTTGACTTGAAGATAAAAGAGATAAAATTTCAAAAATTACACCAAATTAAATCCCTATTTTAGTGAAAATCTCTTCACATAGAACTATAGAACTGCATTGAAATTCGATTTATTTGCACTTAACTGTTAAATTTCAACAATGCTTGATAAATGAGCTACGCAACTCAAGAACTCAACAACCGAACATAGCTGGGGAAAACTTCATTTTCTTTATTTGCAACTCAAGTAGGGAAAGCTCAATTTATATGAACTTTGAGGGAATGCACTGAGCTATGTAAGCCACAACTCAATAAACATGCTGCCAATTTCAATTGACTGAACAAACAGTGAAATTAATGTTCAATCTCGGTTTTTAATTGGAGCGACAAATACGTAGTTGACGCGAGGCTATAAAAATAATGTCGATTAAAAATTTGATGGCCTAATATTTGGCCAAATAATAATGGCGGCCATGATAAATGTTAATGGGCAGAGCGCCATAAAAATGACAACAAAAATTGGCACCAGTATTTCCGTTATTGGGAACTGAAAGTGGGTCTAATTAATGGGCCCAACGGCCATTGATTGGGTCCAAGCCAAAGCCACAACCACTGGCAAAGTCACTCTGTGGCTTTTATGCATTGGCGCACGAGTATTGATATTGGTAATTAATGCACAACTTCGCCGAGGGCCTTCAAACATAATAAATACAATTATGTGGCAGCACGGGCAGGAGCAAGAGAAGGGGCAAGCGCAAGGACAAGGGCAATTGTATAGGTGGAATCGGAACGGGAAGTGAGCGACGGAAATGCGCTGAATTGGTAACAGCGACAAAACAAATTAGAGCACAAGCCTATTTTTCACATGCATAATATACATACACACACACACACCCATATTTATAGGCATAGCTATGTATATTTGCATATGTCACATTCTCGACCACACCACGTGGCGTATGCGTAATTCGCAAATGTTTCCCATGCAAGCGCGAATTCAATTTGTGCGCTCATTTAATTATTAATTTTAGCAGTGCATAAAGTACGCATCAGGCTATTAAAAGGCTTAAAATTTCATTTTCAATTTCCATCTGGAATGCAAATGAAAGCCAATTCCATCGGCGACACATTTGCCTTAATTCCAACTGTTCGAACGGCTTACAGGACGCGCTCGGCGTGCCACATGAATAAGCAAAACTGAAAAAAAAAGAAAAGGAAAGGGAAGACAAATAAAAAATGCTGTACGTAAAAGGAGAATAAGTTTATTCGCTTCGTGTCGCTGATTAAAATGAAAAGCGTATTAAATTCAATTTCACTTACTCACTTTTAATTCTTTGTGCTCTGAGCAAACTGAATTCAATTTCACTTTTGTTTTCCCAATTTGTTCACACCCTAATAATTTGGCTGTACGTGAGCAATTAAACAGCTCTGACAAGCAGGTGTTGGCCATGTACACGTGTGCATGTGTGAGTGTGTGTCGATTAAATATTTAATATACCTATTTGGCCACATTTTAAATATCACTTTGCTCATGAATTAATGAATTGCTTAAATGAAAAATGAATTTTGAAAATATTTTGACTACAATGAGGAGATAATCTTCTCTCACAGCTGGGTTTTATTTAAATACCAGAAATGATTTGAAAACATATCAATAAATATTTAATATATAAATATATTATTTTTTCATATTGCTCAAGCAGATTATAGTTTTTAAATTACAGTTTAAATAAAAGGAATTAATAAATAAATAAATTTTCTTAAACGAGAATTTCAAAGATAAGAGCAAGGATATTGATTAAAATTGTAGAATGTAGAGAAATGTAGATGAAATATATATATACACACATTTCTAGTATGATTGAAGATCATAATAATTAATTTAAAAAATATATTTATATAATATTCGAAAATCAATTATTAACTGGTTTACGAATCGCATACAATTAATATATATTCCGGTATTTTATCTACATATGAGAATGAGTCTTAATAGGGGGAGAAAAAAAACCAAAAAAACAATGTAATATTTTGGTATTGCCTGTCTCTGCTTATCTGAGAATCACATAGAAGGGTCTGTGTAAACTTAAATGTGTTCGCACATACATTCATGTGATTATGTAGAAAATGAGTGTTGACAGTTTCGCTTAAGTTTGTTGTTAGCATCAAAAATGTACTGTTATTCCATACACATTTATTGTTTTGCCAGCTGCACGTATTTGCATTAAGCTAAACATCTCGGGGCATAAATATTTATGCGCCACTTCAGAGTACCAGCATATATTTCTTGAGCAGCACGCTTTTGACTGCAATTTAAATATTGATATTAGCTCTGGCGCTGTGAACAAAGCGCCTTGACAACTCGACAACTGAAATTTCAAGTAGTTTTTATTGCTAGTGCCGCAACTGGCGCTGAGATATGAGCCATTTAATTTAATTTCTAAGGTGCACCATAAAAGGGGAAAATATTTTGAGAGTATTTTGAGTCCTCTCGGTTTTTATGGGCATTCCAGTTGCAGCTCGCTGCCATCGTCATCAAACTGACGAGCTGAATTTCATCTGCAGCTGCGCTGCGGCTGTTGCTGCTGCTGCTTCAGTTGCTGTCGTTGTCGTTGTCGTTGTCTCGTTGTTGTCATCATGTTCATTGCATTGCGCTTTCCACTTGACATCCCAGCTGCAATTTCCTTGTTGTAAAATTATGCTTCGCTTTGGCTTTGCCAATGGCTTTCCCTTTGCCTTTGCCTTTGCCTCTGCCTTTGCCTTTGCCTCTGCCTTTGCTGTTGCCGCTCTGCTATGAGTTGATAAATAAAACAGCAGACGGTGCAAGGTGATTCGGTTGCCTGGCCAACTTAAACTAAAGTAAACATTCACTGTATGAAGCCCACGGCCACGCCCACGCCCATGCTCACGCCCACACACGGCGATTAACGGCGTGGGGAAACAAAAGCGAAACAGCCTGTTTAAGGCTGCCAATGACCATGGCCGTGTGTGATGAGGCAGCTGAGCCGTGGTTCTTATTCGAGATGGCGTATATGGCTCTGATTCAGCCTCTGGCCTCGTTGACTGTTTGCTTTTGATTGAAGGTTAAATGAGCCATGGCAGGCAGCTCTGGCACACTTGCAGTACGCCGACCCAGTTGCCCCGCCAATCCGCAGAGCTTTTAGCATTCTCGTTCTCGTTCGCGTTCGCATTTGCATGGCGCGCATCCTTTGTGCATCCTTAGACAGTCTTATTTTATTTCCTTTGGCTAAATTAGCTGGCATCATCTAAACCAAAGCGAGGGGGGTAGGGAGGGTGCAGGCTCTGGCAGGGCAACCCGTTTAGTGCTCTAGCGCATTCTTTCGTTTTATGGGACAAAAACGGGCCAAGAGATTTAGATGGCTGACACGCCCGTTTAAGCGTGGCAGCCCCTAATTGAGTGCTCTCTAAATTTAAAGACATTTTCCACTTGCAGTGAATTTTATTTGCCAATTTTTATTGTTCTCTTGCTTAACGAGTTCGCTATCCAATTTTCTCTTTTCGCTCGCTTGCAGCTGTCAGCGTCAGCCCGGACAGGAAACTTTAACGCCAACTCCAAGCAGATAAACCAAAACTAATAAAATACAAAAATGTCCATCTCCGATTTCCGCAAGAAGAAGCTGCTGTTCCTGTTCAACGTGTTCTTCGGTAAGTTAAAGCAGTTCCAGGCGACAAATTGAAAGACGGAGCTTAGCAATCGGACATGCGATAGAGCACATAAGCTCCATGTATGTCTATACACATTGTATGAGCTGGCTAAATACTGTATTATTAGGGGCATTCCATTTACCTGGCAGCTGGCCAATCAACACAAGTTCACAAACTGAGTAAATATTGCCCTGACAAGCTGAAGCTGGGCAACGCCTTTCAGATTGAGATTGTTTTAAGTCAAACTTTGAAACTTTCTATTCAATTTGCTTGCAATGAAAATGCATCTAACTGAGCGATTTACCAAGCTTTCGCTTGTAAGCCGAGCTGCACATATTTTTGTTTGGCGCAGCAAAGTAGGCAACACATTGTGTTGCTCTCGAAGCGCGTGTTGCGCTCTGCGGCAAAGGTCGAGTGCTTTTCGATTATGAGTAATTGTCAGGTAGTAAACAACAGAGCGCCGCTTTAGCTGGCTTTTTGGCCTCCTGCCATGCAGCAGCTGCAGCTGCCATAAAATGCAAGCGCCAAACGCTTGACACTGAAACTAGAAGTGGCAATTTGCACACCGTTGCAGCTCGTTGGCTGGCCAATGCAAATGACATGGCCTTGCCGAAATGGCCAACAGCCAAGGGATGGGCAACAACACACAGGCGTGGCGGACAAAGTGGTCAGGAAGTGCGACTTTTTGCCAGCTGCGCCGCCATGAAAACCGTTTAACTTGCATTAATGTTTATTTCCGCTTTTTTGTACTCCCTCTCTCTCTCTCTCTCTCTCGCTCTTGCTCTTGCTCTGTTGTGTTGTTTATTTCATGTGGACAAATAACCAAACTGACCCACAACCGGACAAAACACCCAAACATTGGTATTCATGCGGAATGCGCATTGTTGCAATGCCAAAAAAACAAAAATAACAATGCTGCGCCAACAGATGTGAACCAAAGCGGCGAAATTGATGTTAAGGACTTCGAGATGGCCATTGAGGTAAGTGCGAGAGTTAAAATATGCCAAAATAAATGTTGCCGAATTGCAATTGCCTCTATCAATGAATGTGCAAACCTAAGCGTGTGTATCGACCAACAGCTGCATCAACAGAATCAACAGCAAACAGTCAACGAATATTGAATACTCTTGCAAAGGTTTTCTAGCTGTGAAATTGAGCATAGATTATTTTATAGTGCTACAAGACTTTAAATTGATATAGCCAATAAAGAATATTATCATAAATGCATATTCTTATACCATTTTATTATAAAAAGTCTCTATGATCCTGGCAACAATTAAAGCCCATTCTTTATCAAACTTCAATGCTTTAGTAATACAGTTAACAGCTATTAGGCATACTGCAGACCAGAAAATAATGTCCTATAGACTAAGTTGATTAAACAGAGCATTCCTTCAGTTTCGAATACAATGAAAATTCAGAAATAATGAATATATTATCTTAAAAAAATAAAATAAAATATATAATAATAATAATGTTTATTGAAGTCATATGGGGTACTCCAGTAACCTCTTTGTGATACTAACAAATTTTTGTTGCATCAATAAAAATATATTTCTATGCTTTATTGTGACATAACTGTTAGAATAGTTCTCTATGATAAAAACTTTTCAGAGTGACAGCTGACTTATATATTGTTGAATTATATGTTCATGATAGAATAGCAACTGGTCTATTAGTCATGACGGCTCATAAGATATACACAATGCACTCAGTAATAGAATTTGATTCCATATACTCTTCCATATACGTTACTCTAACAGTTATGTGATTTATCAAGCCGACTTTTAGAGCAGTCCAACAGACACACTTAAAAAACCTTTATTTTTCATGCAGTTCTTATTGCATCACAATATTGATATGCCCACTCGGCAAGGGCACAGCTGCAACTGCAACAATCTGCATGTTGAACAGTTGGCTTGGCACTTTTCGGCGCTATGTTGATTTTCTATAGTATTTTCACTGGTTTTATATTGCAGCAGTTTTTTTTTTCTCTTGTTTTTATATTTGGCGATTTTGGCAATTCACGTTTTTTTTTTTTTTTTTTTTTTTTGTTTGTTTGCCTTTTTGTGTTTGTCCAGTTTTTTGTTTATTCAACTCGTAACTGATAACTCAATTTATGCTGACATTTTTTCGGGGTTTTTCTTTGTGTTGTTGTTTTACAGCGCGTTTGCAAACTGCGCGGTTGGGCAAAGGACACGCCAAAGAACAAGGAGACTTACGATGTCATGATGGAAATTTGGACTGGTCTGCGATCGAAGGCTGACAAGGATAACGATGGCCAGGTGAGCGGACAGTCAGACTGCGTGTGTATGTGAGTATGTGTGTGTGTGGTTGGGAACTACTACAAAAAAGAGCAACTGCGTGTCAAGTGCTTCGTTTGGGGATTTCAGTTCGCCATTTGAATGGCTTTATTGTCAGTGACAAAAGTGTTGAAATCTATGGACTGCACTCGATGCCATTGTGACAGCAGCTGACAAGTGGGCCCCCCACACACACACACACACACACATATACACACTCACACTCACCCACAGACACACAGACACACACCGATTATGTTTGCATGTTTGTATGCAGCAGCAAACATTACAAAGTCGGTCGCACGCTGCACAGAAGCAACAACAAAAAAAAAAGTACATAAATTTTCTTTTTATTGGCTTGGGGTGCATAGGACTGGGCGTGGCTAGCTGGGTGGTTGGCTGGGGCTGTGTGGCTGTGTGCCAGTAAGCAAATTCCACATCTACAACAATGGACGGAAATTGAATTGTGAATTATTTGAGCAATGCAGCTGCAGTTCCGGGCCACGACTTCAGTTAGTTTTCTAGGCTGCTCATTACAATTGACAAACTAGGCTGCTCATTACAATTGACAAACTTTATAACCGCTTTGTGCAGCCACGGGAAAGTATCCATTCGCAAGGCATAATCAGGCTGCGTCTGCACAAATTGAATCATGGTTATAAACCAGCCATAGTTTCTAATCTAGGTACAGCGAAATTTTCAGCACGAGAAGCACCTGGAGGACAGGTGCTTCAAGCACCGCACAAGAGCCGCCCCTTTGCCGTGCTCCGATTGTGACACAGATAGCCGCAAAGTTGTTGGCTAAAAGCCAAAAACTTGACGAAGTTTCCTGCAAATAAGCTGAAGTCAACTGTTTGTGGCCTTTGTGCAGTTTTTGGCTTTGTGCTGTCCAGACTTGGATTTATTGTTGTTGCCTTAACTCATTTTACAACTACACACACACACACACACACACATAGGCCGAGGAGTACAAAGCAACTACTATGACTTAAGCTAGACAGAGACACGGTCAAGGATGTGCCCTGCCTTTTTGGCATTTCAATTTGGCAACGCACAGCACTTAGATGCAATAAACATAAAAAATATGCAGTTAGTGGTGCGCCGGTGGTGCGAGGGCGGCTGCCACACGGGGGCTCAGTCAATTGGCACTGCAATTGATAGCGCTGACCGCACATTGTCTGCTGTTTTGCTTATTTATGGCCGCATTAAAACATGGCCCGACCTCTTGTGGCCAGGAGTCTTTGACCAAAATTAACGTTTGCCACCAGCCGGCTGGGTCAAGGCGTCGCACACTGTTAAATTTTGGTCAAGGCATCGATTGCTGATGTTGCGGTAATTGCTGTTGTTTCGCATGGGGCAAGGCAAAAGAAATGCTCATAAACGGCGGGGCATAATGTGCAGGTCGCATAAATTACGGCTAGCATAAGCAACCCCCGCCCAGGCTGCGCCAGCACCCCCCAGTTGGCCATTATGATGTTTTACGAGCAGCTGCCACGCCCACCTGCGGCTAGACGCCTAATGTGTTTCTCGGCGTGTTTTGGGGCGTTAGGCATAGATCGAAGGCTTTTAACCCAATCTTCTTTTTCTCTCTTTCTCACTATCCCTATCTCTATTTCTGCTCTCGCAGGTCAGCGTGGACGAGTGGTGCAACATGTGGGACGCATACGCCAAGGATCCCAGCAGCGTGATGGACTGGCAGAACGCATACATGAACTTCATGTTCGACTTGGAGGACGCTTCGCATGACGGCGGCATCGATGTGACGGAGTTCACGCTGGTCTGCTCCAGCTACGGCCTGGACAAGAAGGAGTGCGAGGAGGCATTCGCCAAGATGGCCCAGGGCCAGACCGACGTGACCCGCGAGCAGTTCGCTGCCTTGTGGAAGGAGTACTTTGCCGCCGAGGACGTCAACGCGCCCGGCAACTTTATCTTTGGCAAGACCTCGTTCTAACTGCTGTTCGAAAATGCCTGACCGATTATGTCTTTATCACTGATGCCGCGACCGACTAGTGGATTATCCAAATTACAACAGTTATTCTATAATTTAAAGCTTAATCAACAGGCAGCTGCAAATACCATTTCGATTTCGACTATTTGTAGCCAAGTTAGCAGTTAGCAGCCCTTCAAGCTCTGACGTTCTTTATTAAATGTTGTTGTCAACTGTAAACTCAGATTTTGCCCAATTCAAAGTTCTAAATCCGTAGCTTAATTAGTTAAATGATAAACGTCTAACTATTTATATTTTATATTCTACTAATACAAATATATATATAGTATACGATTATATATATAAACATTTATATATATGTCTATATATATATAACTAAATGATATCTCAAAGCTCAATTAGAACAGAATTCGTGTTATCTGTAAACTGAATACCAATTAAACTGTCAAATTGTTTTTGTTTGTGTGTGTAGTCGTAGTTTATCGTCCCAATCTCTGGCGTTTAAATATAAATGTAAATGTAAAGTGTTCCAACCAATTACAAACAATAAAAGCTAAACATCTATAACAGCGACAAGGTACATTTAATTTGTGGGCAAATTGCCATTACTTGTTGCTATTCCATTTGGGCAGGGCGCGACGAGCGACGCCCCCATTTCAAGTCCTTACAACTACCGCAGGCCATGGACTCCGATAAGATCAGCAATTGGTTGGCAATTTATGAAAATTATAATTTTCTCTGGTGCCGCAAATAACCTTCGGCTGCTTCGGGTGCTGCACTTGTCGAGCTTGGGTGCACTGCTCAGCGATTTACGGGTCCAATGGGGCGGGCGGCTACGTAATTTATGCAGTTGCATGTGCAGCTCCTCGACCGCGACGAGCTCAGCAGACGGAGAGCTTTGTGGTCACAGCGGCAGCAACTCCACAGGGAGTAGCTACCGTCTTCAAAATAACGGCGAAAGCTTGTTCAGTGAAAGCTGCGCTGGCAAAGCTTTCGCGAGGGGAGCTTTTGCGTTGGTTTGTCAGATGTTCGCGTTCAAGTTTGCAACCAGGTGGCAGCGCTGCAAAGAGCTGGGAAGGTTGCACACGAAACGGCAGTTTTCTCTCTTAACGTAACAAATTGCCGTTACTGAGTGGCGCGCTTTATCGCTGATTTAAAAGACAATTTCCGGCTAAGCTTTTGCATGCAGGCTACTAAATAATATCTCATGTATTCTTAAATTCATTTCTAAGAGTTACAATTTATCATTATCAAATTCAAACCAAATTTCAAAATTATAATTTATAATATTTAGTTTTACAGTGGCAAAAATTAACTAAAATTCAAGTCTTCAGATCTATAGATCAGATCTTTACCATCAGCTTCAACTGCGGCTCCGATTAATATTATTTAGTCAAGTCCAAAAGTATGCAATGAAGATTAATCTCGCCCTTTTCTGTCCAGTGAAATGCTTCATTCGCATGTTTATGAGAGAACCTACTTGCATTGCTGTTCGCCTGGTCTATTAGCTGAATTTTTATAAAAATTTAGTGATTCCAATGGCGGAGCGGAGCGATGAATCACGATGTCGGCTCAGTGCAATGACATCTTATTTAAATATATATTTGGAAATTTCTATATGTAATGAAATTAGTGAAGTAAAAGTCATCAAATTCTTAAGAACTCTCTCGGCAGTTAGCATTTTTATTAACTTATTTTTGCTCAGGTCATTAAAGAGTATTATTTATTATATTGTTGCACAGTTCAGCTATGTCATCATTAATGATATTCCGTCTCTAGATTACGAAAGCTGTTATAAATTTAACCAAATCACCAGGGGAACAGCAAATGAAATGAGTTGCAGACTGCAAGTGTGCAGCTGGCACATGCAATGTTCTCAGCGATCGCAAATTTGTGATGCATACTTTTACAGTAAACAGTAGCGGTACACCGCGGTGTCTCATCGCTGCGATCTTCAAGATAAATGAGAGGTTAAAGCCGCATTGAATGATTAACAATTCACAATTGTCAATACTTCGTCAAGATCATTAGGTTTTGCCTTCGTTGATCTTTTTTGATGATAGACCTAGAAATTATTTCAATAGTCTACAAATATTATATAGTAACTGTACTATACTATTTTGGCATACGCAGGAATGCTACAAATAATGGCATTAAGAGCTTAACAAATTACAAGTAAATCACGCATAATTGCCATATCATTGTGAAAATATTTATCTACCATAAGAATCACTTTCAACAGTAAATCATTTTCAATGTGAGCTCATCATAATTTGAAAATTCTCAAAATGAAACACATTTTTGTTTAAGTTTAATATTTTATACATTTTATTGTTTAAAATCAAAGGATAAAGCCAAAAAATATAAGAGCTAATTTCATTAAATTTGTATATATAAATATTTAATTATTTATTTCAATAATTTTTTGATCCGCTGCTTAGAGTAATAGAAAAAGTAGTAGAAATAGCAGTAGCATATTATAGTATAGTAGTAGATACAACGTTATAATTTAAATAGTTTTATGTATGTATATATATGTACGTATGCATGTGGGTGTGCATGTATTGTAAATTAGGACTACAAATAACTGTAATATTTGTGATTTATGGTAAGAACTCGAGTTGCCTGAGCAACTCTAGCGATTCTCAAAGATTTTGGCACATATGTACGTTTGAATGATATGTTCTATGGTAGATATATCATAGCATTGATCGATTTCTATATTAACAATAACAAATTACTAAAACTAAGACCAAAGCGCTTAGATTCGTCTGGATATTGCAGAGCCACGTCCACGGCCCAAGCTGAGGCGGGGCGAACGCGTTTGCAGCTGAGGCAATTAGTTTTT